CTCCCCCCGAATCCCCTCCGCCCCACTCTCACTCGCCGCTCCACCCACCTGCACCGCCACCCCTCTACACACACACATACACACACACACACACACACACACGCACACACTCGTGCTTGCCGATGCCTGGAACTCCGAACTCTCCCCCTCTGTCCGACTCCCTTCACCTCGAAGGAGGGCGACAACACAGCTTGGGAGATGCGACAGCTTCAGCAAAGGGTCGAGGACCGACGGCAGGCAGAGGAACGCTGTAACCGACGTGTCACGTGGTTTGGGACATCCAAACTCTTTCGTCAGTTAGTGAAGACTGGGTGTATTGCAGTCAGCGGCGGTTGTGCAGCGCATCCATTGATTGTTTTGTAGACTCCCGTCCCCATCGCTGCTAGGCACTGTGACTGTGTTGGGTTTACCAGGACGCCCCGCAACACTCGAAGGGTCTTGCTAGAATGCGGGCGCGCAACTAGTGAACTTGGAGAGAGGTGTCGAGTTGCAGAAAGCTTTGCCATGCAGGAACGGATGCCGGACTGGAAAAGCTTGTGGCTCGTGAACTACCTAGTCTTCTTGCAGCTTAGCTTGATCGCCACGTCAGTCTGAGACGATCGGAGCTCCGCTGCTTGGGTTGATCATCTCCGCTGTCCTAGGTTGGTGCTAAACGTCGAGATCGTCGTTCCAACGGCCGACCAGTATGCGCAGACACTCGGTGCTGGCGAGACCTTCAGCGGTCTGGTCATTGCCCTCACACCCTTCTTCCAGGGTCTGATAGGGATCCCAATGAACCTGGGTGCCAGAAGAAGGATTGTCTAGTTTTCTCAATGAGACGAAACTTGACTTGGTAGGGTCAGGGTCGATTGACGCAGAGGAACTACTGGATGCTCCGATCTGGAATCTCCCTGAAGACCATCCTTATTGTGATGGTTGCTGGCAGCATCCTTGGGAACATCCTCTACGCCCTCGCTGGTCTCATGCGCTCCAAGATTGCCATCTTGTGTGCGCGTACGCTCATCGGAATCTGCCAGTGCCAGCTTGGGGGGCCCATTTACATTGCAAAAGCCGTGGGAATCAAGAAGCGCACGAGGGTGACGTGACATGCAAACCCTAGAATGTTTGGTTGACATGATGAAGACCTGAAAGAATGGTCTGTCTTTGCTCCCCGTGTTACGCTGTCGTTTTTCACATGAGGTTCTCTTCGTCTTCTCCACCATGGCCACCCTGGCTTTCACCGCAGCTCCACTGCTCGCAGCGTTGCTGGAGATTTTTGTGAAGCAGCTGCGAATCGAGAATTTGGTCCTCGACTCCGACACGGTTCCGGGCTGGTTCATGGCCTTTGCCTACTACCTCTTCCTCCTCAAAGTCGTCTTCTTCTTCGAGAACCCGGAAGACGAGAACCCGAAAGAGGACGTGGGGAAGAATGTGCCTTCACTGGCAGAGGCTCTCGACACAGACCCGCCTGTGGAGTCCCTGTGGACCAGCGGCTTTCTCGTCTGCCTCTTCGCTGCCTTTGCGAGCTCACTGACCAACACGATGGCGATCGTATTTTTCGTGAAGCTGGCAGAGAAGACCTGGCGATGGAGCGTGTCCGTTACTGCATTTGCCTTGGCTGGTTTCATGGCCGTCGTTTCGCTGCTGTCCCTGGTCAGCAGCAGGCTTGCCAAGCTGGTAGAGGACAGGAAGGGACTCCAGTTCACCTCTTGCATTGGTGCTGCGTGCTCCTTGATTACTATTCCGTTCTCGAAGAACTGGCCGGCAGCTGCTATCACTGTCATGTTTGTTGGGCTATTGCTGGTCCAGTCATCGGCTTCCGTCGTCAAGAACTACGCCTATGCACTTTGCCCCAAGATCGTGGCTCCACGCTTTAAGGATCGAGCTGGTGCTATCAACATGATCTCTTTGATGCTTGGACGAGGCGCTGGTGCACAGCTAGGTGCAATACTGACATCAGTCAGTTTTGCAGGTTCCCAGTTCTGCACCTACTTGTTCCTCCTCTTCCTATCCTGGAAGTTTGCCGCGCATCTGAAGCAGCATGAAAAGGCAACTTAGTTCGGCACAGGCCGCACTGTTTGCCGGTGAACTTTTGATATTCTGCGCCAATAGTGCCCAAAGCCTCCAATGCTCCGAATGTAAAGCAGAGAGCATTCTGTCCGACTTCCGGCCGCTTTCAAATTCCGTGGAACCACCGCGAGAGGCAGGCAAGAGCTGCACCATCACCTCACCCCGAAGTCTCCAGCAGGCGGCGCATCCCATGGCCGACAAGCTGAAGTGAGACTGCTCCCCTGCAACAGATTTAGGCAGGTGTGACGAGCATCCGTCGAGCACGAGGCCCGAAAAGAAGAGCTAACTGCAACAATTTTGCTCGGCCATCAGACCGGTACCGCCTCGTGCACCGACTTGTTTGGGCCTGCCTGCTTATCCCTTTGACCACAGGATATTCCACTTCAGGTTCGCCTCTAGTCCAATCATTGAGTCCAAGGTGTCCCACACCAGGTCAGCCGGCAACCAAATTTCGCAATTTGGTTGAATGGATGGGGGCCATGCGTGGTCGTGTCCGGTGTGTTGGCTCCAGCTTGCGATAGCCTGCCAGGATGCAGGTGCAAATGCGGGCATGCTGCGAGTAAGATCAAGACAAGCCGCGTTCGTCCCAGACAGCATGGATGTATCCTGTATCCATGTCCCCTCATGTACCCTCCAAGTCCTGAATTCGAGAAGCCCAGGCAACTCTTGTGCTTCCCAGCATGGGGCCATCAAGTTTTCACAGAGGAGCAAAGAATTCACACGCCCGGCCCCTTTCAATGGGCACGAAGCTGGTTGAAACAGTTCAAGCAAATCGACGCTTTGAGGGCTCGTCACTGCCTTGTTTGCTCATGACTCCAATGCACTCATGGGCGGCAATCTCAGGCGGAGCCGATTCCAATTCAGAAATGTGGTGTGCAGACTGAAGGACTAAAGAGAGTTCTACGAATCACAGTCTCCAGGCATCAGCTCACCTCAGCCCTCCGCACCGCTGAACCAGGCAAGCAGGGAGTGCCGCAGATGTGTCAGTCGTTTGCAAATTGCTTGAAGCCCACCAAGATCTCAACTTCGTTGGATGTGTCAGGTGCTCGACGCCCTGCACTCTCAGTCTGGCACTCTGCATGACAAGAGGACATGAGAGCATGTGACAGTACGTCAGGGAAGATAGGCCTTCATGTCTACATGCCTGTCGCATGTCGATCTTCCGCATGCCACCATAATTAGGAATGGCATGGCCTATCTGGCATGGCCTATCTGGCATGGCCTGTCTAGCATGTCGAGACATGGTCGACATGCCCAAGGCAGGGCCAGCTGAGCTTGCTCTCGAAGCACCTAGCCTCGCTGCGTGACGAGCATGAGGCTACGGACTGAATTCACTCCCACCTCGCCCCTACTCATCATCCTAGACGAATTCAGTCATCTCGTCCCGAAGCCCCAACCCGCAAAGAGTGGTGCAGATCTTCAGAAGCGCTTGGGCTTCGCTTCAGGCTCTTTGCGAATGCCTGGCCTCGCACGGTGTTGTCCCTGGCGAGAGGTTGGGACAGTTTGGGTGTAATTTGTGCCACAAGTCCATGCGCACAGCCGAGGGGCTCTGTGAAACCTTTGACAGGCTCATGGCTTGGCTACATCGGCGTCGCTTCGCAGAAGCTCGGAGAAGACATCCGCTACAGCTGGGGCCCAAGCGACATCCGACCCTCATCGATGTTTCGCACATGTCCCAAAGGTGTCACGAGTCCTTGGAGTCTCTGCTCCAGGCCAAGGACTGCTGAGGAGGGCCTTTATGCAAGGCTTCCTGGCTTCCTGTCCTCAGCCGCAAAGGAGCTTTCCCTGACCGTGGCAGCCCGGCTTGGACTGTCGGGTTCGGCTACCGCCAGTCCGGAACCAAGGGATTGGCTGCATCCCAGCACTTTTACATCGTTCTGCTAGGTTTGACTTCTCTACACTTCGTCGAACTCCTGGCCAGGTGCAGCGTCGCGCGCGTTGCGCGGCTCCTTGGCGGCCGTCGGCCCAGAACTGGCCACCGCCTCAGAGCCTACTGGGCGCTCGTGCTGTCAATGAAAACTTTTTTTGCTGTTTTAACCACTGGACTGAGTGTTCAGTCGAAGCGCAGACTCTCAATGCTCCTGCAGGTGGCAATGTTTCCGCTTCACCTCTATGCCATTGGAGGGGAGGCACGGCTGCTTCATTCAAGACCATGCAGAACCAACATGCAGAGAAGACAATGGGGTTTGTCATGAACTGTGTACGGAGTCCTCGATCCTGCACCGGACAGGAAAGCATGAGAATCGGCCACAACACGTGTCATTTGCCTATTGCAGGCAGGCGGAGATGCTCTGGCATCCGTTGGAACCCCAACTGCTTCGATGTTCGGAGCAGTTCCTTGAAGATTACTAGCTAACTTGACTCTTGCGCTGCTCTAGCCTGCTAAGGCAACGTATTCGCTGGCATAGTCGGATTCGACATCTGATTTTGATTTGTGTACGGGTGTATCGGCCTATCCGCAAAGCTTCCCGCGAGGTCGAGCGGCTTGACGTTCGTGAGAACAGATGGGTGCAGAGCGCACCCCTGCGCAGCCCCAGGTCGCACGGGGCGAGGGGGGAGCAAGTGGGGAGCAGATCTAAAGGGTTTCCCATGGTTTTCCGGTTTCTGTTTGATACGTGGGTTGAGCTCCTGGGAGGAGCGGCTGCGCAGCCGTGGCGCTGTCGGGGCACATCTACGCGGTGGGTGGCTGTGGTCGGGGTCCCCAACACGAGAAGCGAACAACCCAGGGCCTCGGCCGCTCCGCTCTCTGCCGCTGAGGGGTTGATGGTGAAGATTTGCGGTCAGTGGAGAGGTGCAGACCTTGGTTCAGAAAAATCGACCCGATTGTCAAGCAGGATGAACTCCATTCCCACGTCCACTGAATCTGATTGAAAGGTTCAGCTTATGGGACTCGGAGTGGGAGGCCGGGTCGACTGTAAAATTGCATCTGGGCATGCCTGAGCATTCAGGATTCACAGGGCTCATAGGGTTTTGGTGTTTTGTTCGGGACTCGGGTGCTTCCGCAAATCCTTGAGCTGGGTTTTCTGCCTGGGGCTAGTTGAGTGTGTATAATCTTCCTGCTGGTTAAGGAGTGCCGCGGTCCCATGAACCGCAGTAGCTTCCGAATTCGCCAAATCAGCCAATTTCGCCAAATCAATTGTCGCACGTAGCAGAGTCCAGGAGGTGCCAGCGATGTCCACGGGCCGTGACGAGCTAGCGGCAGCAGCTTGTGGCGGCTCCCCGAGACGGATCTTTTTGCTGGTAGGTTCTAGTACATTTAGAGCGCTCTTTCATGACGTGGGAATGAAGGTGTGCAGGCGCCAAAGTAGGTACTTGTAGGACCGTCATGCCAGCTTGTGGCGACTTTGCACAAGTGGACTGAGGCGGATGCCTCTATGCCATGGGCGGCAGCCACCTGGTTTGGCCGGTGCTCTGGGGACTGTTGGCTGATGTAGGCAGCTTGAAAGGTCTTGGGCAGAGACACGAAACAGGCCATTTCCAATAAGGGATTGCCAGAACTGAACCTGCCAGCCACCATGGACCATACCCAGGAATCTCAGAGATCATCAGTCGTTGATGGACACGCAGCATCAGTGCTTATCCGTCTGTATCCGTTGATCATGCTTGTTTCTGCTGCTGCTGCTGCTGCCGCTGCTGCCGCTGCTGCTGCCGCTGTCGCTGCCGGTGTGGGTGTTGGTGGTGTCGCCTTCGGCGTCGTCGTTGTGGTCGTTGCTGTTTGCTCGGTAAAGGTGGGCCGCCTTGTCGGGCTCTGTTGCAGGTGCGCCACGTCTTGGACTCGGCAGAGCAGTTCGACCCGCGGAGCCACTGTACAGGCAGCTGGCAGGCCGCGGCCAGCCGTGAGTGAAATGCAGCAATGGCTGAAAGCTCTGAGCATTCTGCATTCAGAGGCCCTTCCCCGGCTCAGCCGGGAACGCTGCGCGGCTGCGGCAGTGGCAGTGCGGCGGCGGCTCCTGGTGCTCGGGGGCTGTGACGAGGCCGCAGCCGAACTTGAATGCACGGGCCCAATGCTCGGTTGCTATGACTCCCTCTCTCAAAGTCCTGTGCCTTCAGCTGTTGCACCCACAAAGAGCCGAGATCTGCCAGGATGGCGTGGCGCTTTGTTCCGCGGAGTCCTTCGACCCGACGGCGGGGCGCTGGGCATGGATCCCCGGTAGTAGAAAAAGCGTTGTTGTGTGTTCGATGGAGTAATCCCTGCAAGTCCGTACTAAGCTTTTCTTGGCTTGATAGCGGACGTTTCCGAGGTGCCATTACCGCCGATGAAGCGGCCACGGTGCAACTTCGCACATGCCTCAAGCTTGCCTGAAGCATTGGATTCAGGCCGAAGCCGTGGTGCCGGAGTTTGTGGAGTTTGCAGTACGTATCTACTCAACAACAAGTGCCCCAAGACTGCTAACACGACACTTTGACATGACTGACTTAGGGCTTTGCATGGGTGTTCGTTGGCGCCTGACCTGCTCCCATGGACTCAAGGTTAACATGCTATCAGGCATTCTAGTAGCAAGCACAGTAGCTAGAGGAAAAGGGGCTATAAAAAAAGAGGTTAACATGCAGCAGCATCTACGACACGGCTTCCCTGCATCTTAGCAGCTCGAAGTAAACCGCAAGAAAGCCACAGCAGAGATCCGCACTGTGGCCCCAAACCACAGCACCCATCACGACACGATGACCATTGCAGCCGAGGCTGCCGCTGCAGCCGGAGGTCGAGTGCTGGTGGCCGGAGGCTACGATGTGCGGGCGCCTGGAGTCGCTGCGTCTGTGGCTGCGTATATGCGGTTGCAGTGCAGCGGGCTTTTTCGACGGAGCTCCAAGGACAACACGCGAGATGTGGACACGGTGGAGCACCTCGATCCCTGGCAGAGCATCGGGTGCGCGCCAAAAAACCATCCTTCTACTTTGGGTTGCTGCGGCAGAAATTGTAGCTAATTGGATTTGAGGTCCTGGTTCCGCGGTTGTACTGCCCCGGCACATGTATTGTGATATATTGATATTCCCCTTCGGCCTTAGGCTTCTTGCTTGCGTGGGGCCTCGAGCGGAGCAATCCTTCCTTGCAAAACCCTCACTCGCATGCCATGTGATGTGATGCTTCTTTGTTTTCGGTCGGCAATCTGGAATCCCAAAGCCTTCGAGCCCAGAAGCTCGGGCCCCATGCCATGCCCTCAAAGCGTCCTGCCGCAGCTGGGAGTCCGTCGCCCGCCTTCCAGTTCCCCGCTGGGGTGGCAATCTCAGAGTTCTCCCGATGTCAGCTTGAATGTAGAACTCCTCAGCGCTAGTACGTGTTTGTGCACCTGGCTGGATTTTGGGCGCCCCTGATGCCCACCGCCCAGGTGTGCGTGCTGCGAGCAGTGCTGGAACCATCTTCATCGTGGGCGGGAGCGGCGGTGCTGCAAAAGCCGTGGTGGCTAAAGAACAACCTTTGAGCCTGCCTCGCTTCAAATTTGTGCCGCGTGCTGGCCCCCGGTGCTATCCGCGCAGGAAGGTCAACGAGTATGAGGTGGGAGATACCCAGTGTGCACCTGGCCTGTTGATTTCTGACCCGCTTTTTGCGCATCCGGTCGACCCCTGGGGTCTTAACTAGTAACTAGTAGGCAGTGCGCCTCATGGTCGCGGAGGTCAAAATCTCAAGCTTGCGGGATCGCCCGCTCTGTCGGAATGGTTTGGAAGTGCGGCCATGTCAGGTATGGACCATGCATCGGGTAATTGGGCCCGGGCCTGAACTTGCAGCCACTTCTCCGTCGCGGCCAAGCCGTCTCTCGGACCTTCGCCCGACAGGTGAGCTATGCGCAGCTCCTGCAGCCGCGACGGTCCTTCGGCTTGGCCGCTGTGAGTGGATTCGGGTGAGAGATGGGCTTTGCCATGTCACGACATTTTAAGCCATGCGCACTGCTGCGTCTTCCTGGCTGCAAATCTCAAAGTTAGATCTACAGCCCTGCCTGACTGGCGTTCCGGCGTGTTCGCAGGATGCAAGCTCTCAAGTTGGGACCATCCGGGCAAAGCTTGTACCGTTGCGACCCCACCGAGCAAACTCAAACATTCCAGAGTGTCCCAAGGATTGCAGAGGAAGCAAAAAGTCTGCATCGGAATCGTTTGAAATTATTTGAATGTTAAGGAGATCGAGATTCGAGATTCCGATGATTTGCAGCCGCTGCAGCCGTGCGGCTTAGTCGGTTGTGTAGGCTTTGTCTTCCTTGCAGGATCTTGCGGTAGCGAGCAGGCCGCGATGTCTGCTAACGAGGTGCCGGTGATTGACCTCTCTGCCTTTTTGAAGGAATGGGAGTCAATGCCTGCAGACAGGCCGGGAATTGAATCATGCAGGTGCCTTCTTTGAAAAGACCTGTAACAAAGACACCGGCTTGGACAGACCATTCAAGCACATGAATATGCGGTCATGCATGTGTGTCAGCGTGTGCGTGTGTGTTCGACAGGCCACAGCCTATGCAAACAACAACACATCAGTTGGAGACACGCCCGGGCTTGCAGGCGTGCAACGACGAAAGTGGATGAGCTGCCTCAGGAAGGGACATGTGTCACCTACCGTTTCCTGAGCATAGCAAGTTGACTTTGTGCTCTATACACGATCTGTCTGGCTACCAACCTCCAGGCAGACAGTGTAGTAATACTTGTACAGATATCTAGGTGTACGTATACTTACATGCAGATGCTCTTGTATACGTTTATCTATGTATGCAGAATGGCTACCGTACACGCTCTTGTAGTCTACAGATGCAATTTCGACATGGGTACATGTACATACACGCATACACCCGACCCCTTGCATCTCAACATGTCCTCACCTCTACACCTCTACATCTCTACATCTCTAGATTTCTTTTGCACCTCTACACCTCTACCCCTCTACCGCTCTACATCTCTACATCTCTAGATTTCTGCACCTCTACACCTCTACCCCTCCACCCCTCTACCCCTCTACCGCTCTACCTCTGTACCTCGCTACCACGCTACCTCTCTTCTCGACCTCTCTACTTCTCTACCCTCTACCTCTCTACCCCTCTGCTTGTCGTTTTCTCTTCCTGTCTACCTCTCTACCTCTCTGCCTCTCTACCTCTCTGCCTCTCTACCTCTCTGCCTCTCGACCTCTGCCTCTGCCTCTACCTGTGCCCCTACCTCTACCTGGGACTCTACCTCTGCCTACAACCTCTTCCTCTACTACCTCCACTACTACTACAACTACCACGACAACAACTACAACCACTTCTACCCTCTCTACCTCTTCCTCTACTACTTCTACTACTGCTACCTCTGCGACCTCTACCTCTACTTTCTACCTCCACCTCTACTTCTCTACCCCTCAACCCCTCGACCCCTCTACGCCTCTACCCCTCTACTTCTCTACCTCTCTATCCACTTCTCTACCTTTCTGCCTCTCCCCTCTACTCTCCACTCTGTACTTCTCGACCTCTCTACTTCTCTACCTCTCCACCTCTCTACCTCTACTTCTCTACCTCCTCTTTTTCGTCCTCTACCTCTACCTTTGCCTCTGAGGCGCCATGCCAGTGTCAGTTAGCATTGTGGGGTCAGCATTGCCAGCATACCAGGATGCTGCTTTCTCTTGTGTGTCTCAGGATCTGATCTGCACATGAGACGTTTATGGCCCTTTACGTGAAGATGCTGGAACTTACCCCCCAGTACTAAAGCCATAATCCGGGAAAACCACGTTTTACGTGAGGGGGTTTCAATATTCGGGTGTGGTGATTAAGTAGTACTAGTTCAGTTACTGACGTTATTTTGCGTTCTTATGATTGTTTTTTATAATTTCTAATTTTTACTGGGCCAGGGTTGTGTTTAAAGGTCTGGTGGGAGGCTGTCCTTTAAAAGGCTTGGCTTGAAGGTCCACCTGGTCCTCTGGTCCTGCGGTCTTTGTCCAGCGGTGCCCCGGTACCCCGGGCCCGTGCTTCCCCGGTCCCGCGTTTCCTCAATCCCGCGGTTTTCCAACTCTCTGCTACGTCTTTGTTTTGGCCCTCTGGTTTCTCTGGCCTCCTGGTCTTCGCATCCGTTGGTCGCCTGGCCACCCGTTCCTTTGGTCTTCCGGTTCTCAAGTCCTGTAGTCTTCTGGCGCCCTGATGCCCTGGTCCTCTGGTCCTCTACACGCTTCGTGTCGCAGTTCCTTGGTTTTCTGGTCCTAATCGCCAAATGATGGGGCGCGAATCGCCAAATGAGGGGGCGTGTTTAAGATATCTGGTGAAACGGAATCGCCAGACAAGGGGATGTGTTTAAGAACATGCTGAACCTTGAACCGGAATCGCCAAATGAGTAGGATGTGTGTTGAAGCGGAATCGCCAGATGAGGGGGCGTGTTTAAGACATATGGTGAACCTTGAACCGGAATCGCCAAATGAGTAGGATGTATGTTGAAGAGGCAACGCCAAATGAGGGAGCGTGTGTAAGATATACGATGAACCGGAATCGCCAAATGAGGGGGCGTTTAAGATTATGTGAACCCGAATCGCCAAATGAGGAGGCATATTTAAGATATATGATGATCTGGATTCGCCTTTGCTTGAGCCGTGCAAGGTCGCCTTATCATGCGAGCATTGTGGTTTCAATGGGGGAGGGGCTCCCCCGCTTTTTCAAGCCGTGCAAGCTTGCTTCAAAGCATGTGAATGCTTCCAATCCTATCATCCGAGCATCCTGTTTGCAATGGCGGGGCGCTGCACGCGGTTTTGGGCAGCGCAAGCTTGCCTCAAAGTATGTGAGTTTCTTGTTTTGACACCCACAATGCGATCAGTGCGTTTGCTGCGCCCACGCGACGCCCCGCTGATGAAACTATTGGAAAATCGAAGTTGCCGTTTGCGAAAATATAAATGACAGGGCAGATTAAGATACATGATGAACCGGAAACGCCAAATGATGGGGCGTGAATCGCTAAGTGAGGGGGCGTGTTGAGGAGAATCGCCAGACAAGGGGACGTGTTTAAGATACATGTTGAACCTTGAACCGGAATCGCCAAATGAGAGGGTAGTGTGGGATATATGATGAAACGGAATCGCCAATTGAGGGGGCGTGTTTGATATATAATGATCCGGAATCGCCACATGAGGGAGCGTGTTTAGGATGTATGTTGAACCGGAATGGCCAAATGAGGCTGTTTAAGATATATGAGCACCAGCACCTGCAGCAGCAGCAGCAGCAACGGCACGACAAGCAGCAGCACCAGCAACAGAAGCAGCAGCAACAGCAGCAGCAGCAGCACGACAAGCACCAGCACCAGCAGCAGTGAAATCCCCGAATAGCTTGACACACAGGCAAACCCTTAAAGGTGGAGACCCCCCAATAGCTTCACGCACAGGCAAACCTTTAAAACTTGAATCCCCCAATAGCTTGACGCACAAACAAACCCGGAAAACTGGAATCCCCCAATAGCGTGACGCACAAACAAGCCCTGAAAACTAGAATCCCCCAATAGCCGGAGGCGCAAACAAACCCTGAAAACTAGAATCCCCAATAGCTTGACGCACAGGCGAACCCAAACCATGACCCGCGAAACCTTTAAAAAAAGGCCTCCTGCCAAACATTTTAAACAAAAACCCCTCCACCATTTTTACTAGTTATTTCGCTATCGTTGCGATTATTACTCTTACTACTGTTTAGTACTCTTGCTACTCTTTTTTTACTATTAACATGCTTACTAGTATCATAACTATTACGCGAGTTATTGCCATCAGAGTACGAACAAGTATTGCAGTTGCTACTACTATGCGTAAATCTGAAAAGCATTTGCCGCAAGCAGAAACCTGCGAAAAGTAGCCATGAAAATGCGATTGCGAGCCTATTCAAAAAACTGTCACAATCTACTGAAATCAATGAAAACCCAGGGAAATCGATCAAAATCCTATCAAGGTGTTATTTAAACCTGAGAGAATCGGTCAGATTCCTTGGAGTTTTCCGGGCTTGAGAAGGAGCACCATCGAGTAATGTTCCGAAAGCCACGCTAACAAAAAACCAACAAATGTGACAAGCAACAGAACAATCCTCGCTCCTGGATTGCGTTATTATTCATACGCATATCATATGATATTATCTTTAAGCTTTGTATATCGTGTGTTATTGTGTTATATACTATATCGCTTTATATTATGCTATTTTGTCAGATTCATCATATGATTGTAGCACATGCATGTTGTATGCACAGTGTACTATATCATAATATGCGCATTACATTGCATCATACTTTATTGTGCTGTACTACAGCGAATTATTTATTGGAGTACTGTATTGCTTTTCATTGTAAGCATATGCATGCATGTTCTTATATACATATTCATCAAGGTTACATCATATGATACTTCACTGTGCAACGTTGTTTGCGTTTTTTTGCATGAAATGCATGTTTCTGTGCACGGTATAATGGGTAGCATAATATAACATATGTTGTAATATGTTTTATGGTATTACGTTCTATTCTATTACATCATATTCTGATATACTACTTTACGTTGTGCTATATTATATCAGTTATACCATGTTGCATTTTACTACATTATATTCCACTATTTATTATGCATACATGATATAACATGCATATCATATCAGTCACAGCGCCTTTGCGTTACGTTGTGATATACATTGTTACAATTCAGTATAAGATAACCTATTGCCATATGCATACCACGATAATGTTGGTGTTTGAAGATGTCATTGTATCATCATGTGTTGGAGTTGTTCGCAGACCACTGTAGCGCTGGACTTTCATTGTCTTGAATATGAGTTGGGTTTGGGCTGTTTCATGTATTGTTGGTTATGTTTGAGGACTTTGGGGACCCTAATGGCATCAGTTGTCAATCGAACAGAAACACATCATCATGTTGGTCTTTGTGTGGATAACATGTGAACTCCGCGGCAAAGGAGGCCCGGACCGTCGTCCGCGCCTGGCGTGAGGCCGGCATTTCGCAGCGATTAAGGATAGAGGAACAGGGGTACATGGTTTGGGGAAGTGAAGGGTGCGAAGCATTTGTTTGGTCAAGGCAGACGGATGGCCAAGCAGGAAGCATGAAGGGTCAACGCCAGCATCCCATTGTCTCCTTCTGAGTAGTAGGGCCAAGACAAGTGTCGTTCCTGATAGCAAGCCTCTCTTCCACAACCTCCTGCTCTTTAACTTCATGCTCCGAGAACGAGCTCCTCGCATCTGAACTGGCGACCCACATCCTCTCTTATCTGCGAAAAGCGTAGGATTACAGGACGCACAACCTCGCAGCCGTGAGGCATTTGGCCAATTTGGCTTCTGCCACGCCATTGGCCACGGCGTACCGGACAGTGTTTGTTTTCACAGCCTTTCATGCAATGGGTCGCGATCTTTCTATGATGATGTACTGGAAGCGACAACCTGCCAGCTCTGATGTCCTTGCTCTGGTGATCATTCTGGGCTGAGCTTTATAATTATAGGAGTTTGCATAGCCGCACCAGTGGATGCCTGCAGTGCGATCGAATAGGAAGCAAGCTCGCGCCGTGCAACACCTCCGCATGCTGGGGCAGGTGATGCATGTTATCTCCAGTGTCCAAAGCTATGGCCTTCCAGGACGAAGTTATCGAGAATGCCTATGCCTGCGCCCGAAAATTTTTCGACCTGCCCATGGAGGAGAAGAGACTGGGACAGTAATGTTAGAATCCTGGAGTCATTAGTGTAAGTTGGTTGACCCGACAGGGGCGGACCGTGTCGCTGTTCTTCTGTGCGCCAAACCCAGTGCCCTTGTTCTGCTGAAGAGGGGCGGTGCTGGCTCAAGTCAAAGCCTTGTCACTAGCGCAACGGCAGTTCGTCGCGATGCAGAAACTCTGCTCGGAGCGAGAAACTGCACTAGCATTATTTGTGCCGCCGTCAAGCGGCCACGCGGCGTGCAACCATGCGGCCCGGGGCCCGGGGCCCCGCGGCGGCCCGCGGCCACGCGGCCAGGCGGCCACGAACCACAAGAACAACAACAACAACAACAGCAACAGCAGGAACCGGTGTTTGTTTGCTGTAGTTGCTTTATGTTGGTTTTTGTTGTCTGTGCGCGAACCCAGGAAGCCAGTGAGTGAGTGAACCCCGGCACGACAGGAAAACAAGGCGCCGCCCGCAACGACAGCAAAAAAAAGCGCCCTCACGATGACAGCAAAAAAAGCGCGTGCACCCGCAACGACAGCAAAAGAAACACCCGTCCTCACAATGACAGCAAAAAAAAAAGGCGCCCCGGGGACGACAGCAAAAAAGCGCGCCCCGGGGACGACAGCAAAAAAAAACGCGCCCTCACAATGACAGCAAAAGAACGCGCCCCGGGGACGACAGCAAAAAAAAGCGCGTCCCGGGGACGACAGCAAAACAAACGCGCCCTCACAATGACAGCCAAAAAAAGCACGTGCCCCCGCAACGACAGCAAAAGAAGCACGCCCCTCGCAACGACAGCAAAAAAAACATGGCTCTGTAGATATTGCTGAGATAGTAGGTCCTCGGGGGAGGTCTTGCCTCTGCTACATGAGGGCTGATTGATTAGTTGTCGATTTGTCTTTGGGATATATTGTATATATTGTGGCTACAACGCGGACTAAAGATGTACTGGGGTTGTGGCTGGTGTGAATGTATAGCGACACAGTATGACACAGTGTCCGAGCATTTGCAACATATTGTATAAATACATTGACTATTCGTCAAGCATCAACTAACTTTTGACCCACGTACTAACATCATAGGGCATACAGATTACTTGTTGGTTGCGACTCAACCTGAATATATGCGTGTATATATATATATATGTATATATATTCTTTCGGAAGGCTGAGTGTCCAGATTGAACGCGCCTCTAGCAAAGATGAATTCTGGGAATCCGCTGGCGCCTGTTTGCTCTAGCCCTACGGGCTGAGCAGAAGTCAGGCGACCAACGGGGGCGAGCGAGGGCGTAAACCGGCGGCTCATGCAGCCAAAAGCCGTATTCCCCACGCTCCAAAGCAAGTTACGCTGAAACAGATTGCTTCAGGGGAGACCTGTTCAGACTCCGTGAACTACCACGAACGTGAGCCAAAGTCTCCACTCACCGGCACTTTCAGGTCTTCAAAACCAACTAAAGAGTAGCACATGCGAATGCGGCACAGTTCGAAGTTTGCCCTCAACCTGCATCCACAAATGCACACGTGAAGCATTGCCTACACCGAGTGCCGTGCGGCTGCCGGCCAGCGGCCCCAATCGACCAAAGTCTGAAGCAGCGATTCTGTTCCTAATCGCGCGCGGTTCTTGTGAACAGTCCGTTGCAGCGTCCGCGCTTGCAGAGAGCAGGTCTGACAAGAAAAGCGACGAGTAATTCACGACCGCCTGCACGAGATCCGCAAACATGCAGCATCTGCCATCAGAAGGTTCTCTGCAAGACAGAGATTAATGGCATCCTCCCCACCACCACTCGTCCTGTAAAGCAGCTGTCCGTCGGGTTGGACACCATGCTCGATGCAGAAAAGCTCCCAGCAGGCATCACCGACCGAACTCCCGAGACAGCTTGCAAAAGCAGACGCCGTCTCTGGTAGAGGCTCCCAAACTCCATGCCACACAGCGGAAACGCCCACTGTGTCAGGCAGCTCCGTGAACAGAAACATGCTTCTGCAAGCCATTGGCTCACCTGATTCAGCAGAGAAGGATTCTGCAAGGTCAAAGCGAATATGCTCGCATGTCTCCCAGCAAATGCCACCAACAGCCTCCCCACCAGAACTGACGACCACACTGCCAATGTCATCTGGGTCCACGCGCTCAATGCATGTGTTCCCATCTGGGCGATCATGCTGCGCCATCGCGGTCGGCAGGGCGAATTCCCATGCGGGCCATCGTGAAGCACATTTTGGGCCACAAAATCAGCTGAGCCAGTATTGTCACACCAAAGGACCACAGCAGCGTCTGAGTCATTGCCGCATGGAAGCTCCGTGGTACCATCCTGCCAGCTGTATTCTACAAAGGTGTAGTCTGCCACCGTCTGCGAGTCAGACCAGGGATCATCTTCCAGAACACTCCGCATGGTAGCACATGCACGGAAGTCCTTGTACCCTGGGAAGATGAATGCATGCCCAACCATCGCATCGCAGTAGCTAGGCCATGCGCGACATCCGCATGGGCTGGAATAGGCGTGCTCCCTTCCCACCAGCCATGGGCCATTAACTGAAGCACTGGGGTCTCTGGCAATACGGTGCGCTGTCGCACCGCTTGATCCGAATCCTATATATATATATACATGTATATATATATACATACATACACACATAATGTAGATGTATATGTAGATATGAAAACGATTCTGCTAACTGGGAACCTTTAGACCAAGTACAAGTACGACACGTGAAAGACATTCGCCAAGTTATCATTCGATATCAATGGTTGTTGAAGCGGGTGAGGGTTCCGAAAAACATAGAACGGGATCAAAGACTTAAGCCTCAGAATCAACAAACAATTAAAATTAAGGATCACAGAAAATCAAATATTAAAATCCGATTAAAATCCTAGGCCAAACCTACTAACACCTCACGAAATAAGGATCAACAAAAAATTAAAGCGGGGGGGGGGGTTGCTGAGCGCGGGACCTGCAGCGCAGGGAAACCAAAAATAAACGCACCAACACAAAATCCAGCAGACTAGTCCCCCAGATTTTTGTTTTTTTGGTTTTGTGTTTTTGTTTTATTTGGTTTTGGGTATGAGGGAAAGCCTACTTACAGGTTTCTAATCCGCCTGTAAGATATGATATACCTGTTTGAAAGCCAATGCTTTAAAACAGGGCCAACGTGTTAAAACAATGTGCGTGTTTTAAAATATTGGGCTGGCTCTAAAACAGGGACTCGGGGGCCTACCTGGTTTCCCTCTCTGTTCGTTTAGGGTTTCAGCACCTCCTTTTAGGGTTTGGAGTTTGTCAAAGCAGCTTTTTTGCGGGTCTGGGGTTTGCCAACATCTACTTTAAGGGTTTGGGGTTTCCCAACCATTCTTTTTGTTTAGGGTTTCAGCATCCCCTTTTAGGGTTTGGGGTTTGTCAAAAGCTTCTTTGCAAGCTTTGAGTCAAGCAAATCTCCTTTTAGGGTTTGGGGTTTCTCAACCATTCATTTTGTTTAGGGTTTCGGCATCTCCTGTTAGGGTTGGGGGTTTGATTCCTTTTGTCGAGGGTTTCAGCATCTCTTTCCGGGTTTGGGGTTTGTGAATAGCTTCTTTGCAGGCTTTGGGTCAAGCAACATCTCTTTTTAGGGTTTGGGGTTTCCAACCATTCCTTTGGTTAAGGGTTTCAGCATCTCATTTTAGGGTTTGGGGTTTGTGAACAGCAGCTTTTTTGCAGGCTTTGGGTCAAGCAGCATCTCCTTTAGGGTTTGGGTTTCCCAACCATTTCCTTTTTCAGGGTTTCAGACATCTCCTTTTGGTTTGGGGTTTGTGAATAGCAGTTTCTTTGCAGGCTTTGGGTCAAGCAGCATCTCGTTTTAGGGTTTAGGGTTTCCCACCCATTCTTTTGTTTAGGGTTTCATGCATCTCCTTTTGGTTTGGAGTTTGTCAATAGCAGCTTCTTTGCAGGCTTTGGGTCAAGCAGCATCTCCTTTTGGGGTTTGGGGTTTTCCAACCACTCCTCTTGTTTGGCTTTTGTCTTGGGTTTCAGCATCTCCTTTTCGGGTTTGGGGTTTGTCAATAGCAGCTTCTTTGCAGGCTTTGAGTTCAAGCAACATCTCCTTTTAGGGTTTGGGATTTCTCAACCATTCTTTGGTTCAGGGTTTCATGCATCTTGTTTTGTGGTTTGTCAAGCAACATCTCCTTTTAGGGTTTGGGGTTCTCAACCATTCCTCTGTTCAGGGGTTTATGCATCTTGTTTTTGGTTTGTCAAGCAACATCTCCTTTTAGGGTTTGGGGTTTCTCAACCATTCCGTTGATCCGGATTCATGCATCTCGTTTTTGGTTTGTCAAGCAACATCTCCTTTTAGGGTTTGGGGTTTCTCAACCATTCCTTTTGTTTAGGGTTTCAGCATATCCTGTTAGGGTTTGGGGTTTGTCAATAGCAGACTGTCAATAGCATCTTCTTTGCCGGCGCCGCGGCCCCGCGGCCTGCCCGCGGATCTGCGGGTCTGCGGCCCGCGGCCACGCCCGCGGACACCGCAAAAAAAAACTTCTACCCTACGATATGCATCTTAGACAAAGACGAACTTTGGACCCTGCGAAGATAGAACAGTTCGAGTGGCACCCGACTGAGGAAGCTCTCGGACACGGGCCGCCCATACGGAGCCAGCTGACTACAATTGGGCTTTCGCTGGCGGTTGAGGGGCTTTGTGGTTTGAAGGACACTGAGCACTCGGATTTCAAGGCGTTTTCCGGGTTGCCATTGTATGCACGATGTGCTTCACTGACGAACGCATGCAACGAAAGAAACCCCAGAGTTTAACAGCTCGGGTCTGCGTGAAGGAGTCCTGTCGAAACCTGCAAGCTCGGCTCAAGGCCCCTCCTAACCGCCTAGGCATGGCTAGATTCTGGATTCATCAAAGCCCGACACCAAAGCCTGCTCCCTTGCCCAGAGCGCCGGCGGCGGCTTCAAGGCCCAGGCCTGGCACCGATAGGAACCGAGCTTGGTCCTTGCTGTCATCTCTGGAGTACACCAAGCACAGACCGCGACGGCCTTTCTTCCGACAGCGCCAGGGGGCGGAGAGCGTCAGCAAAACAGAGACTGACAACCCGGGCGGCGAGGCAAAGGGCACCTGTTTGCTTGGTCCCGCAGAAGCGAGCTGTGCAGGTTGCTGGCATGAAGAAGGCTCGGCCGTTTGACAGAGTCGAGTCCATGATGTACTTCGGCCATGGCAACGACGCCGCCTGGCGGGGCTTGGATCGTTTTGGGGCTCTTTATTGCCCGAAGTCTCGGATGACTATCTCTCCCAGAGATAGCCAGGTTTCCGCATCATGAGACAACTTGAGTCGAAGAGCCATTGATGATAGATATGAACATGGTTCTATTTCTGGCGCAGTGGCTGAGCAGCGTAGTGGGAGTTCTTTTTGATACAGGCTGCAAGCTAGACATTAGGAGAAATGCATCTGCCCGTGGAACGTGTGTAAGTTTCAGTTTGATACTGCGAAACCAACAGACTGTAAAATATGATTTCGAGAGGTGGTGTCGGAGGCTTGACTACCATGAAATTCGCCCAGTGAGAAAGGCAGGGGGACGAGGTCAAGAACATTTCGGACATTGACACGGTTTCGCTTGTGCAGCTTCTGAGTGCTTAAGACTGGCAGACAAAGGTTTCGTTACACGAGACACGAGGGGTGACAACATGCGTCAGAGTCCCTTTTGGACCGATATGTGCGTGCCGGCCAACGCAAGAAGTGTGCAAGTGATGCTGGAAAGTGTGCCGCCTTCATCCAACTACGCAAGACCGTGCGGAGACCAATGTGACATGCCGAGACGCCTTTCCCCCTCCAAAGGACGAAACTACAGCTTTTGCATCGTCAAACAAGGTCATTCCCAAGGCCGTTCCGGAGTATGTCGACGTCATGGAGCGCTATCGGAAGGATCCTTGGATTTGATGAAGCAGGCCCAAAGAACGAGCCCTGCGAACGTTGAAGAGGCGGGCAAAAGCCTCGAACTCCCTCCGTGGTGTTCGGATGGCATGCACGCAGTCAGCACGCAGTGAAGATCAGGAAGTGTTCCGACTTCTTCTGGGCTCCATGGCGCTCACTGCCGCCTCCCTCGACCTGCCAGGGGGCCTTACCAAGGGCAGCGGAGGTGGCATTGCCGGAGTCGGGAGTTCAGGAGAGACTTCTGAGGCCATTGGGGCACTTCGAGCCTTTCTTCCCGACTGAGTTGAAACCCAACGAGGACGGCCTGGGTGGGTCACGGGTTGCCAAGCCTGAAAGTCGTAGCTTCAGATTCATTCAGCTCATTAAAGGCGTTGATTGTGCGGATGGTTCGCCAGGCTTGTGGGTTTCAGACTTTCCTCGTTGTCGATTTCTGCGGCTTCGAATCTACAACTTCGGTCCTGGTCGATTTCCCCATTTGGTTTCTGTATGCGCCTTTGCAGTTTTTGCTCGCAAGTCGTACTGCTCGAATTCACATGCTCTGAAGAGCTTCCCGTGTGTTGTCTTGCCGTTGGGCGCTGCAAGACGTGTTTGGCACAGGCCCCGAACTCCGTGCGCTTGGCATACTACCCGGCCTACATTGAAGGGCACCATGGCTCAAGAGTTTCAGGCCAAAGGTTCGATCGAATCCGGTCAGCTTTCATCTAAATTATCGGATACCTGGTTGCTCTTATGCTCTTAAGACCCTGTATCTCTTTGTGTTAGCCATGTTTTAGGATAGAGTTCCAGGCACAGGCCCAAAAAATAAGGCAAGTGTTCTTGGGTTTTCCGCACGATAAGCTGAGGCAAGAGCCACTGCCGGGGCAGATGCGGTACGGTGAGCATACCGACTACACAGGCGTGGGCTGACAGCGATGTCCTGGGTGCCTGCACGATAGGCGCCGATATAAGGTTACACATTTCCTCGAGATTCAATGCAGTCTTCTTTTGTTGTTGTTCTTCTTCTGTTCAGGCAGTGCAGGAACCTTTTTCGAGCATCATGTTAGAGAGTCACAGAGAGAAATAAGATTTGGAGTCAAGACATCTTCAAGTGGCCCGCCACTGCACGCACAACGGCGCAGCCTTTGCCATTCTTTCGTGCGGAGAACGGGGCGAATGCGTGGGATTTGGGATCCTTGATCGGGTTGGACATTCACCTCCATTCGAAGGAGTGGGCAAGCAACACAGCGAAGCAATGCGAAGCAAACGCAGCAGTGCGAGCGCACCGAACACGGCAAGCACCTGCCCGTTTCTGCCGGTTTCGCAAGTGCAGTCAGCTGTTTGCATCTTTCAGACAAGCTTGCATGCAACAAGTGAAGAGGATCTTAAAGACGAAGAAGAATACGAGACAGAGGGGTTCATTGCTCAATTTTCTTCAAATGGTGACTCTGCACGAAGCCCTGCTCCGAAACTGCACTGTAGCTGCAGGAGGTCACGAGTACAATTGATTGTTGTGTCTGACATTGTTCACCTTTCATGAACACTATCAAATCGAACAGCCCTTGCTTGTCTCTTGCCTCAACGGAGGGCGGGCATTATGGGTGCCAGCAGTTGCCGGGGATGCCGGTCTTCTCCTTCATCTCAGAAGTTTCGCTTCGGCCGCACCGGACGTAAGCCTTCCTTAGATCTCATGAGACCGCGCGAGACCAAACAACAGGAGAAGTTAGGAATTGTCGTTGGGGAGGCTTCACCTTCTTGTGGCAAGACCACAACGTGTCCGGCACTCGCCCCAGAGCAAGTTTGCATGCCGCCATGAGGCTTCATGGCTCAGCCGTGCTAGCAGCGAATGCTCCGCCAGACCGACTCACGAATTTTGGATCTTCCAGCGTGAGTTGTACCCAAGCATCCGAACAGCAGTGCCGCAAGCAACTTGAAGTACGAAGTACGGCAGCAAAAAGCCTTCGCGCACAACAAGAGATCGGTGCATTCTTCCGCATGTGCCGTCAATCTCTTCATATTTCGGCATAGAAAATCCTGCGCCCTCGCACCCCAGAAAAGCATCCTGCAGAAAGCTGAGGGCCGCAAACTGCCAGCAGCGGCCTGGGAGCACCTCCCGGTGGACTTCAGGCTCAGGGACGTATCGGGTCCTGGCCGCAAGGCTTGAGGAATGATGTCCTCGGTCGACAGAGTCTAGATGAATGGGCTTCTGAACGAATCGCACTGCGCACGTACAGATGGTGGACTGTGTTACTTTGACGGCGTGATTTCAATTTATGAGTTTTGCTTGGGAATCGTGTGGGACTCAAGGAGGCCAAGTTCATCCCGAGAAAGGACTTGAGACACACACATAGAATTGTGTATCCTGATTGAACCTCTTAAAGCCGGGATCGAACTCGCAGCAGAGTTGCATTGAACCCCTCGGCCTCACCCACTGAACTGCTATGCAAAAGCTGTCGCGGGAGGTCCGGATGCCTGATGGCTCCTGGGTAGATTGCCCCCCAAAGCTGGGTGCCCAGTACAGCCAGCACGATGACTTCGCGACTGCGAGGGATCTGAAGGAGAAGCGGGCTCGCTCTGCTGGTTTCGGGGAAGGCACTCTGAGCAGGAAAGGCAGCTATGTAGGATGCGCGTAGGCATAGGCGCGGAACTTGAATTGGGCTCGTCCAAGGCCCAAAGCCTTTACTATCAATGCAGGCGACTTGATTCAGGCCCTTTGGAGAGTTTCTGCAGCTCGAAGCTGCCAGTTAGAGTATGTGCAGCTGTAAGCGAGGCACGAGGCAGTGTCGGAGATGCGCATGGTCTTGCGTTGGTACAGGCTTGGACCAATGATGTCTTCCTGTCCAACTATCACCGCGTTGTGAATCCTCCTCCTGGTGCCAATAGCTTACGGACGGTTGCCATGAGCGCTCTTCTCGCTGAATCGCGCTTCGCACCACCGAGGACCGACATGATCGAATCAGCCTTGTCTACTTCACCGGGCCCACCAACCATACGATGGTAGAGCCCTTGCTCTTTCCCTAGCTTGGAGTTTGCGGATCAATGGCAGGGTTGTCAGGTCACTGCAATCTGGCAGCTGCAGGGTGGCGATGACAGTAAGCTTTTTCACCAGTTTCGATAACATGCCCGCTGAGGCCAACGTGTGTCGGCCCAGACAGACCGGCAAGGCCTGTGAGAAGCGCTTTCGTTGGCTTTGGCACTTTGGCCTCTTGTATTCGAAGAAAGTGGCTACCGCCCTCACTTCATCACGCTGCCAGGTACTCTGCCATTTCTGCAGGTGAGCACCTGAACAAGAAGTTGAAGGTGTCAAATGCCTGAGCACGTAGGGACGAGGGCAGCATTTCTCAGGAGGCTGCACTGGACCAGCGGATCGGCTTGGACCACTTGCCCAGCAGCGTTCTCGTAGCAATTGGTTTTTCGATGTTTTTCGCGTGCTCTGTTGTTTGGCGGATACGCGAGACCCCACGATGGCAAAGCTGGCAGACTTTGGCGCCGACCGGCGCCCAGTATTGCTCTTGTAGCTGTGCCTTCTTACATGGCAGCCTAGTCAAGCAGCTTCAGCCGTGGGCAGTTTCGAGCAATCGACCTCTTGGGTCATGCTCTGAGTGCGGGGCTTGTGTGAGAAAACGCGCAGCGCTCTTTGCTGCTGTGTGTGGCGGTAGAAATTCGTTGCATACGGTATACGTGGAGCCCTAGGCCTTGACATGCCCTTGCGTTGTTGGTCTGAGCTGCAGGTCGGATTAGGAAAATCGGAGACCCCAGGGTTGCACAAACATTCGACGGCGCTGCTCGCTTACACTCCCAGCCCGAAGAACGTCCAAATGCCAGCAGGGGGTGTAGACGGTATAAATGTCGTTTTAAATCCACCTCCTTCTAACTCTACTCAGCCAGAACCGCGAGAGAGAGAGAGAGACAAAGAGGCAAAACGGATCGAATCAAAGCTGCTAATTTGTAGGCTAGTCCTCCACTGAAAAGCTCAGCAGTCTCTTGTCACACATGACATGGCGGCACGGCTGCGGCTTTCCCCGCACTACGGTGCACTGTCCAGGCCTGGAAGTGCATTGAGGCACAGCCCTGGGGCCGAAGGAGTGACCTACACTGGGCCCCCCCCGGGCTCTGAACTTTCGCGAACACCTTGACTAGACTCACAGAGGAGAATTCCTCCGTCACGTGGGCAGGCTAGCAGCCGGTGAGGGCGATCCGTCAACGCTGAGCCAGGGACTTGCAAGTGACCCGCCATGGACGCGTTAGTGCTTAGAACCTTGTTGATGCTTCAAAAGGGCTGATCGAATGTAGGCATTTCTGCCCACTTCTCTCAGCCGAAGTTGCACTCCAACGTCAATAGTTTGGAGTTTTCACCTTCTCAGGTCTAGACGTGGATGCCAAGGCTTGGTAGGGGTTGCATCAGCTGTGTCAGGCAAGCGTAGACAGCTGCAAGTGTGCAGCGCCGAGGAGTGCGAAGAGGTCGCGGCCATTTGTCGGCACCTGGACCTGAAGATCGAGGCCTGAACGGCCTGAACTCCCGTGGGGCCGGGAAGCGTGGAGAATGCCTTTGAGGGCGTCAGAGAGTCATTGCTTCGTGTTCAGGTGCTTCCCGCGCCTCCTGGCAGCGCTGCTTCGAAACGGGTCACCGCCATTCGTTCAGCCGACCCATTCGAGGAGGCCGCAAGGGTTGTCAACGTGAAGAGGTTTTGTTCACCCACGGTGTCGTCGTCTTTGCATTTCCATCCCGCATTCAGCCGTCCACTTTGCACTGTGCTGTGAAGCTCCCTTTTCCTGTAATTTGCTCCTTTCAGGCAGAAGCGGAGGTGAAGGTGGAGCCACGCCCGGCAGCCGTCAGCGGAAAGGCAGGGCCGCGGGTTTTTGAGGAAATCAGATCTGCTTCGTCCTGGGGAGGTTCGCCTGGAGGAGCGCTTCGGGCGGAAGCCGCCAAAGCCAGCGGTAGAGGCCCGGGTTACGGCTTTCGGTGTCCACGGCTCAAGGAAGGCAAAGGATGTGGAGGTCTGCATCTGCAAAGATCCGCAGAGATATGGTTTCTGGCAGCTTGTGTCTCCGAGCGGTTCAGATGAAGGAACCTCAGCGGTGATCCTAAGCACGACTGCTACTCCTAGGCCGAGACGCTTTTAGAGAAGAGCCAGCTGCCAAAGCTGACCGACTTCTATCGGGCGGTGGTGGATGCCTATCCAGGCTCTTGGCTTGTGCAGTTTGCACATGGGGAGGGCTGCCCGCTGCTGTGACATGTGTGACATTCAGCCAAATGCTGGCAATCAAGGCTCCGGTCAAGACCAGAGAGTCACTCCCGGTTGACGAAGTCCCGGAATACAGCCCTCGGCCATCCACACGCACCCACGCATACCCACACGACCACACACCCACATTCTCTCACACCCACAAACCACACACCCACACCCACACCCACACCCACACCCACATCCACACCCACACCCACACCCACACCGACAACGACACCGGCAACGGCAACGACAACGACAACGACTACGACTACGACTACGATTACCACTACCACGACGACGACGACGACTACTACTGCTACTACTGCTGCTCCTGCTCCCACTCCCGCTCCCACCATTCTTCTCCGATTCCTGTCCTGGTTCCTACTCCGACTCCTACTCCTGCTACCTCCTCCGTTTATAAGTATGACTACTACTGCTCTTTACCATCACCACCACCTTTAATTTGTGAGTGATCCTGCTTTGTTCTTGGATTTGACTCGTATGGTTTTTCCTAGCTACTGGTGGGTATGTGCGACTTGTTTTTTTGATCTTGCCTTTGTTCTTTTGGATTCCTGAGGCATAACCTGCTTTGGATCCTGGTTGAGGTTTTTTCGATCCGTCAGCCTGCCCGAGTCACCTCTAAACCCAAAGCCCTAGGCTTTGGCCCTAAACCTGAAAACGCCGGAAGCCCTCAACCCACTGCCCTAAACCCTCAACACCCCGAAGCCCCAAATCATAAACCCTACACTCCCCTAAACCCTTAACCCTAAACCCTAAACCCGAAGCCCCAAACTGTAACCCCCACACCCAAGGCACTAGGCCCAAAAACCTCCCTACGCATCACGCGCACCAACGAGGCGGCAGACATGCAGAGAAAGCCGTAAACCCTAAACTCCAAACTCTGGCTTCCTTGCGGGTGCTATGAGGGGGTTTCCGAAAATAGGGGACCCGAATTTAGTACCTTAAATAGTAGGATCCGTATTGTAAAGACCCCCAAAATGAGGTACCCTAATCTTCGGAAAGTCCCATGAGGCTTCGGGATTTGGGGCTAGGGTTTACATATAGGAGCCCAAGTAAGCAGGGATACAAGTCCTTGAGGTTCCTTATATCTAACCCTATGATACATCCCCGAAGCTTCCTTCTTATTCCGCACATTTATTGAAACCTTCATCCTCAACCGTAAATCGTGAACCTCAAACACTGAGCCCCTTGCAGGGAACTCCCGGCTCACGCTGTCGCGTATGCATGGACTCGATGGAGAAAAGAGCATGTCAAGAGTTGGCCAAAAGACAGTTGGCCTAAAGGCTTTAGGGGTTTAGTTGTTTATTTTTTTTTCAGGCCGGGGTTTTGCAGACTTTAGCTTGTTTGGCTGTGGCACTGGTCAGCCAAAGCCCGAGGAAAGCTTTTATTAACCACCGCCTTAACGGGTTCGTTTCTATAGTGGTGTCCGGCTTTAGGGATATAGGATGGAGGATTGCGTGGGTGTTGTATGTACACGCAGACATACATGCGAACATGCATACATTCATACATGCGTGCATGCCTGCGTACATGCACCGGCACGCACACACACACACAGAGATATATATATATATGAATATAGGAATACATATTCACATACATATATATATATATGTACATATACATCTAGAGAACAGAAGCAAGTAAGTAAGTAAGTAAGTAAGTAAGTAAGTAAGTAAGTAAGTAAGCAAGCAAGTAAGTAAGGAAGTAAGTACGTAAGCAAGTCACTACGTATGTAAATAGATAGAACATGTCAAACAAATGAGCAAACAAATAGTACATAGACATTTCTATAATATATATATATACATATGTGTGTG